CCACCAAAGACTGCAGACCACAAAGCCACAAGATCATGTCCTACCAGTCCCAGACTGCCAACGAGACAAGGAGGATGACCTTTGCATCTGACTCAGCAGAATCCACAGACTTGCATGGACAGCTATCACTATAAAGAATGAACGCAAAGAAAAGGCTTTGGGTCTGTCCACCTGCAAGAAGAAGTTTTGGGCACGTCTAGAAAGACCTGGCTCCATTCCTTATGGTCAGTCTGGTGACCAGCCTGGTCACCAGACTGACCTGAGCATCTTTAGAACTTGGTAACACCTTAACCTTTGTAGGACTGTGTAACTATCTGTGTGTGTGCTTGTTTTTTTTGTATGAGCCAATGAGTATGTATGGGAATGACTGAAGCAGATAACCTTATTGTTCTTTATTTCTTTTATGTTCCAATAAATGTGGCATTGTGCCTTATCCCGATAAGATTCCTGCTTGTTTTTAATTCACACTGTATGCCTTGTGCATACAACACTACAAGTTGAATGGGCAGCCTGTGTGTGTGACACCTGGCAGATCAGGAAGAGGCAGGCAGCACAGCATCAGTTAGAACAAAAGGCAGAGCAGGAGATCAGGCAGGGAGCACAGGGCAGGAAGCAGAAAGCAAAGCAGCAAATCAGGCAGAAGGAAGGGGATCAGAGTGGCAGTCAGGGAGGGGGCGGGGCCAATTTGTGGAACGCTTGCCAGAAAGGTTGGCCCCCACTGATCTAAACTAATTCCTAATCAATTCAAGTGATATAAACTACGCAAACCAAAGTTAGTGTCCATAAAGGAATTTCCTTTAGTTCAGAAGTACCCTTCAAATCAGACAAACTCCATTCTGTACACAAGGCCTTCCTCACCACTGTCATTTATCTCCAGTCATTTTCTAGTACTGCTGAGCATTACACTTTCCTCTTCCCAGCACGCTGCAATTTGCAACTTTTTGGTGACCATCCCACATGTCAACTAGGATTTGAAGGACGAGGAAAAGAAGGCAGCTCCTTACCATCCTGTCCCCCTCAAACAATAGGGATATTGGTATGTGGGGCACACAGTCATCATCTATTAAAAAGGCATACCATAGGTATTTCCAGAAATTGGAAGGAGAAAATAGCTTCCATAGTCACTACATACAATTCTTTGGGAAGTTTTTACAGTTAAGAGTTCTCAAATTATCACTATTATGCTCTGTCAAAAAAAAAAAA